TCATTATCGGGTTTGAGTTGCTGGCCACGTGGATAGTAGTCACTGACTAAATCTTCGTATCAACTAATTAGGATCCATCTTCTCATCTCTATCTACTCACCAAAGAGAGAAAAGGCTAATCACATAGATGAAAGGATTTCTAAATCCTATGATTCATTCTCATTTCTCACTGTAAAATAATGTAGTGGAATTTTGTTTAATAATTAAAAAATGTTTTTAAAACAATATACCATATAGATATGAAGCTTGGCAAAACTGCATGAACTTACTGACCAATGCAGAGCCAGAAGCACAGCAAAGTCAAATCTTTGGTCTTAATTATATTAAGAGTTAACTTTGAGGAAGAAGCCCTAAGATTAACATCTGATTGTATGCCTTACTTGAATTTCTAAATACCTTATAAAAGGGTTGTTTCTATTGTGATGCCTAATGGCTTGAGCAGTTTTCGGATAATATGGTAATCTAGATCTTCGAGAAATTTTTCTATTGATTTCTTTTCTGTTTCCAGTGTCACTTTCAGAAGTTACATCTGGGTCTCCTTTTGGTCTCAACTCTTTCTCAGGAACATTATCTATTAAAGACTTATATGTCTAGAATTAAAAAAAAGAAAAATAAATAAAACAATGTTTGTTAATAAACCAGTCCAACATAAAGTTTAATATGAGAAATTTCCTAAAACATGACTTTTCAATAAGATTAAGGGCTTATAGAGCTGCTTATGTTTTAAAGTAAACACAGGAAACATTTTCTTCTGGTATGGGCAAGTGAACTCTTGTACAGGTTAACTAGTAAGTCTGACCATCCCACAGAAAACACCCGGTAAGGGGTTGGGAGAAAAAAAATCAAACTACCGCAAAGCCTTCCAAAATAAACAAAAACAGGCTTAGTCTAGAGGTGAATTGACAGAAAAACAGACAAGGGGATATATTTATATTTAGAGCATTTAGCCTGAGGGGAGATTATAATTAGTACCACGCAGGGAGTCGAAAACACAGAAAAAAAAGTAGACTCAGTCAGGTCTGGAGAACTCAAAGAGAATATGAAGGTAGATTGTAAGCAATTCATTAAAGAATAAGAAAAATTAAAAAAAAAATACTTGAAACCAAGTTAAATGTTTGCTAAAACAAAATTATCCACTTTTTGGAGAAATACATGAGAACTCCAAATCCCTAAAAGCCCAAATCACTACAACATAACATTTACAATGTCCAGGAAAGAATCAAAATTACTCACTATATATAAAGAACCAGAAAATGTGGCTTGTTGAAAATAAAATGAAATAGAAACTAAACCTGATAGAACCCACAGGTTGAAAGAAGCAGACAATGAATGCAGCACACCCTCAATGTTCCCGCACCCAGCTACCATCTAAAGGTTGGGAGTTTGAACCAACCAGCTGCATCACAGAAGACAGGGCAGCCTGCCTCTGCAAAGGTGTTAGCCTGGGAAATCCTCTGGGGCAGTTCTACTCTGTCCTGTAGCGTCTCTTGCGTCAGAATTAACTTGATGGCAATCGGTTTGGTTTGTGTTTTTGTTACACTCAATGAAATAAAACAAAATGCCTGTAATATATGAAAAGATAAAGAAAACGAAGCAAGCAAATTAAAAAAACATCAACAAACCACTACAAAAAAGGAACAAACAGACCAGTCTTGGAGGAGTGCAGTCAGAAGGATCCATAAATGTGAGGATGGTGAGAACAAAGTACATATGCATGGAGCTGGATATGCTATCAGGAGAAAGGACATCATTCTTAGTAAAGTGGAAGTTCAGCTAAAAGGAGAAAATCCTCAATGACATGAACAGATACGGAGGCTGCAACCATGGGTTTAGACCTACAAACAATTGTGAAGATGCAGCAGGCGTGGGCAGTGTTTTCATCTGTTGTACAGAGGGCTGCTATGAGACAGAACCAACTCAACGGAAACAGAAACCCTACAACTGAAGATTGCACTATCTGACGTACAAACTGACTGGGTGGGCTTACCAACAGGGAAAGATGATACATGAAGACAGTTCAGTGGTAATTATTCAATTTGATTACAGAAAACTTTTTTTAAATAACAGAATCTCAGGGAATTATGAGACAGTATCAAGAGGTATAATGTGCAACTGGCATTTAAATAAGACAAAAGTCAGAGAATTAGGCAGAAAAAATAGCTGTAGAAATTATGGCTTAGAATTTTCATACTGAGTAAAATCTAAGATTCAAGCAGCTTAGTGAAGTTTAAGGTATACATTTACAGATTCAAGCAGCTTAAGTGAAAATTTCAAGCAGGATAATTATGAAAACAAAACAATTGGGCCAAGATAGTCTAATTGCCGAAAATGAAAGCAATGGACTAGCTATGGAAAGTACTGCAGAAAATGGCAAAGGAATGACAATGAAGATTTGAAAGAAGACAACAGTAAGCTGATGAAATAAAAATTGGTTTATACCTGTGTGATCCAAGGATTGTAAATAATAAAATCAAAATCTGGAGAGAATAGTATCAATGCTTAATTGTGAACACCCGGCTTGTAGATGGCTATGCAGAACAATGGAAGCCCAAAATTCATTTGCAAGGTCCCCACATAGATTAAGTCTGGTGACTCTCTCTCTAACTATAGTAGAGGGCTATGAATAGCCTTGCTATCACACAGATAGCGTTGTAAGTCTACTATGGCAGACATAACTAAGTTAAAATGTCATACCCTATAATCTGGGTATGACATTTTTCAAAGTTGTTTCATTTGACACAGTTCACATTTCTTCTGACACATTTCAAAGTTGTTTCAGTTTTAAATATTTTCTGCTTTCTCTGATTAAGGTTTTTGTATGTATTATCTAGTCAATGTTGGGTTTTTTGTTTGCTTTATATGATATTCATATGATTGTCTAAGTTTGGTATGACTTTCTGTACATGAAATCTATGATAGGTAGATTTATAGAGACAGTAACTGGGTAGGGGCATGGCAGGGAAGATGGGGGGAAATGGGAGCTAACAACGAGTATGAGAAGAAAATGTTCTGAAATTGACTGTGGTGTTGACTGCACAAATATTAATATGATTGAATGATTAAAGGTTATGATTATGTGAAGTATATGCCAACAAAACTATTAAAAATAAAAAACAAAAACCTGGTTTGTCAGATACAGACTCCTAAGGAGCCTGGTAGGACCCTGTTCACCTTGACAGCCGGTTTAAGGAGCTCTGGTGGCACTGTGGGGTAAGCATTGGGCTGCTAACTGCAGAGTTAGTTGTTCAAACTCACCAGCTGCTCTGTGGAAGAAATAGGAAGCTGTCTGCTCCTGTAATGATTTGCATGATCAGAAACCCTAGGGAGCCATTCCATTCTGTCTTACAAGGTGCTGTGAGTTGGAATTGACTCTATAGTAATGGAGTGTAGGTCAGGTTAGCAATAGGCAAGTCTTCCAAGAGTAATTGGTTTTCCATTCTATTTCTAAAATTTATTCTGAAGAAACAATCATGTATGTGAACGAAGATTTAGTTTCAAATGTTTATGGTAGCACAAAAACTACAAAAAATCCTTAAAGTCTAGCAATAGCAGTAATTATCGATGGTCATTAAAATTGTTGTACTATTTTTGGGTAATGAAATGAAAAGTAATTAAAAGTTTCCTTTGTCTACAACTACAACAAGATCCTATTTCTATAAAACAAAACAATACATACAGATAAATTAATGGTACAACATAAATTGCTTTCAGTTGTCAGCTCCTACATAATTTTTACTTTACATTTTCTTAAATGTTTTTCTTGTACAAACTTGTCAATTTTTGAAAAGTAGAAAAAAATAGTTACTTGGGTGAGAAGCTGTGAAATTTGATCATCTATTTTCAGAAGTTTCATCTCATTCTGAAAATCGTTTTCATGATTAATTTTCTCCGGCTCTGAAGACGGACATACAGAATCGATGGACGTCAAAGCAGTATCTGTTGGCGTGCAAGCAAACTGATCCAAGGGAACTATCTGATCAATGTTTGAGGAAACTACCGGCACACTATCTATGGTCTGTAACACAAACACAAGGCAAAGTATTATTTTCACTTTACATTCATTTATTAAAATTTGAAGGCATCTCAGATTAGGAAAAAAACAAAAAGAACCATACCTCCTCTTCACTTGTATTTAGGGGACAATCAGAGGAAACTAAATTATCCAAAAGACCTTCCAAGCACTGCAGGTGGGAGACGTTTATTTCCGACAGATTTACTGGTTCACCAAATATGTTCTTGCAATCCAGGATTCTAAGCTGCGGCAAAGTCTGGAGAATGATAGCTCTATAACCTTGAACATGGAAGCACAAACATTAGATACAAAGACGAACTGTTTCTAGAACTCAACTTATCAGCTACCAGGTATATCACTGGAGCCATAAAACTAGTCCCAGAATGTAACTAATACATGAGACCAGTAGCAATTTACTTTGGAGAGAAAACAAAAACATCTTCTGTTACGTTTTAATGTGCATAGTATAGAATAACCACAAATCGGGTTGATCTGTAGAAAAGCAAGCCCGATTTTCCTCAGCGAGCCCTCAAGCATCGGTACAATGAAACACCCTCACAACCCTTGAAACCCTGCACAACTCATGATTAAGACGGCGAGCAGCCCGAGACTCAGGCCGATTCGGAAGAGGACATGGCACGAGGGTCAGGTACTGTCACTGCTCACTTCAGATGGCTACTGGCTGAACGCGGGGGACATTAGGAAGATGTTCACGTAGGTCTTCTTTATTACGATGGACACTTGGGTTGTTTCCACTTTTGGGCTATGGTGATTAACAACACTGATGTCTATATATGCCTAAGCCCTGCTTTCCAGGCTTTTTAGCATGTACTGTAGGAATGGAATTGCTGAGTCATGTAGTAATTTATATTTTATAACGTTATAAGGTACCATGTTATAAGGTACCATGAAACTATTTTTCACATTCTCACTAACAGTGCTCAAGTGTGACAGAATTGAATTCCAAGGAATTCTCTTATTAATTATGAAACTGTCTGAATAAAAAAATTACTAGCTTGTTAGATTTATGGACTTCTTTTAATAGCAATTTCATTTGTCTTAAAATAATTTTACTTGCAATTATGTTTCTCTATATGCATAATAAGTTGCAAAGCTTTAAGACTAAAATAATAGATCATACACACCAATTCCAGTAAATAAAGAAGCCTTGAATATTAACCATTATAAATAATGCTAAATTAATTGTTCATACCTGGCACATGACACACAGGATTATCATCTCCATTTTTTTCCAAAATAAGATAAGTCAGGAAGTGCAGTCCTATTGTACACTGAAGTAAGTGATGAATGCTATCTATACAATTACCATGTAGGTCAATGTGTCGAAGTTTATGCCTAACTCCATGAAGAGGGATCAACCCTGCAAAAAGAAATAAATTCTCTGATGCTACAGTCGTTAATTTTTCCTGTCACTAATTAAAAAGTCACTTTCTATAGCTATATTTTGAGAGGCAAAGGAGCACTATTAATTTGACCTTGTTCTCTACTGCTACGTCTAACAGATATGGTAGGAGCAGAGCCATGAAGAAATCTGTTTGAAGCTTTAGTCCAGAGAAACCTGAGCTGTTTCTCTTCAAACAAAGCAAGTACACCTTCCTAGGCTAATACGTGCTTTTATATGAAAACATGAATAAAGCAACAGCTTAAAGTTCTCCCAAGATTATTAACAGACATTAGCTAAGAATACAGTACACATCACTTCTGTTGGGTTGAGTAAAAAATATATACCAGTAGCACACATTTGATTTAGTTCCCTGGTGACATTTCTTGTACAAGGTCATCTAGAGCACCAGTCAGACAGTAGGTTTGTAGTGATGCCGTTGATTCCTGGCACATCTCCTTGGCCCACCTCACAGTTGACCGGATACTTCTAATCTTTCTGCTACTTCCTTCAACAAGTTTCCTCTGACCACTCTGTGTTATGAACTACCTACTGGACCTACTTGATACCAATTCATAGTGACCCTATAGGACAGGGTAGAAGTGCCCGGGTGAATCACTTCTTATGCGAGTAGAAAGCCCAGTTTTTCTTCCGAGAAGTGGCTGCTGGTTTTGAACTGCTGGCCTTTCAGATCACAGCTGGAAATGTAACGTCTATGCCACCAGTATTAGTAAGTGCCACCAAACTGCTTCTGACTCACGGTGACCCCACTTAACAGAAAATTGCCTCACATAAGAGCCCTGGTAGTACGGCATTTACTCTTAAGGTCGACAGCTTGAAACCACTGATAGTAAGGCTGTTCAGGACTCTTGCCTTTGGCTAGTGCAGATTTGCAGCTCCGTTTGACTAGATACTCTGCAGATGGGTTTGGGCTCCCACTGTCCTCCACAGTCTTCTCCACATTGGGCGTTCATAATTTTAGCTCTGATACTTTCCTCTTCACTATATTCAAATTTTGTAATTGTCATCTTTGGATCACACAAGCCGATATGCTTCTTCTGTGTGGACTTAGTTGGCTCCTAGCTGTTTGTTTGACTACAAGCCTTTAAGACCCCAGACACTATTTTTGATTGATACGGAGGCTGTAAATCTTTATGGGAGCAGATAGCTTCATCTTTCTCCCACAGAGCGGCTGGTGGTTTTGAACCTCTGACCTTGAATTCACCAGACCAATACTTACCTGACAATGTCCCCAGAGCTCGGAGTGACATATAGTTATTAAAATATAAAACCAGTTCCTCAATTGAAATACCTACGTCTGAAGTGCTCAAAAGGTACAACTGCATTTCACAGCACAGAAAAAGGCCATTTCATCACTGCAGAAAGTTCTACTGAAACTACTGCTCTGTGTAACAGCACACTGATTAACTACCGTATACACTCAGGTATAAGCTGGCCTGAATATCAGTCGAGGCACCTAATTTTACCACAAAAACAGCATAAAAATGTGCTGGAAAACTCGGCTTATACATGAGTATATATGGTATCTAAGATCAAACACTGTTCTCCCAAATTGAATCTTTCTCATCAGGTTTTTTCTGCTACGATTAGTTTTTGCTTCTATTCCTCTAGCTTGACTTTGGCACCAATAAGAATTATGATTAAAAACATATTCTCCATATGATACCTTTGGTCAAAGAAAAAAAAAATTGGGGGGTGTAAATGCTGAGTTAGCCCACCATGTGAAAGAAAACAAAGAGATATCTCTACTTACCACTAAGATCGTTTATCTGATTATAGGATAAATTCAGTCTAGTCAGATTGACTAGTTCTTCAAGTCCTAAAACAAAATAAAGCCTTTATAGGATTTAAGCAATTAATTATAGTGAAGTATAGTGTTACAGTATTACTTCATAGAGAATTTTTTTGGTGAATGGGGGTGTTGAGGAGTTTGAAAGCACTTTCATATAAAAAAAAATCCCTCTTAAAATAACCCTTATACTTTTTCTGGAGGGACAATTACATTAATGAGTTTTAGGGTCAGAGTTAAAAGTTTAATATATTCTATTTTCTGAGGGAAAATTATTTAATCTGCCTTACGCATAATATTCATGAAAATCACTTACTAACCTTCTACTCTTGTGATCAAGTTGCAGGATAAATTCAAGGTGCATAGATTTGACAGTGTGCTTAGCCCTTCGATTTGACTGATTTGATTAGATGACAGATCTAAATGTTGTAAATTCCAAATATGATCAAGCGCTTCTATTTTGGAGATATTATTGCAGCGAAGATTGATGGTATGAAGAGCTGAATCTAAAGATAACTCTGATATGCTATAAAAGAAAATACATATTATCAAAAACAAGTTTAAAAATGATAAAATCACCACCAAACAAATAAGTCAAGAGCATGTACTTTACAATTCATGGTAGGATAAATGTCTTCTTACTTCTTACTTGTGGTAGCTTGAAATGCAAGCTACATATATCATATGAACCAGAATTTTGGACCATCTATAGAAACGAGCCCTGGTGGTGTAGTGGTTACACGCACGGCTGCTAACTGCAAAGTCAGCAATTGAAAACCACCAGCTGCTCCTCAAAAGACAGGGCTTTGTCCTCCTGTAAAGAGCTGCGGTTTCAGAAACACACAGCAGTTCCATTCTGTTCCTACTTGATGGCAGTGAGTCTGACCCAAACAAGAGCCCCACCTGAGTGGGGCTAGTTTCTATGTGCAAACTCATGGGCACACAGAACAGTGCACTATAGACCCATCAACGAATAGTAAAGGCTCTGAAACTGGAGTGTCCAACCTGCATGCTACCGCTCCACTTCACTTCTATGCTGTTACTTGAGCACATGATGTCACCGGAGTCTCAGTTCTTTATTTACTCGTTTTACAAATGAGAATAATGAAGTTAAAGGAATTAGGCAACGTGTCCAAGGTCTTATGGCAGAACTCAAGTATTTGAGGGGTTTCCCCTCAAGAAAAACCAAAAACATTTTTTTTCAAAACCGTGTGTTTAAATATTTTTTACAAAACAACCTTATCACTTTCCAAAGTACTCTCCATTACACTTAATATACTAGTCAAATCTGTGATTCCATTATTGGAAACATTTTTCAAATTTATCAGTTTGGATAATTGACAACACCACCCTCGTTTTTCTTTTCACCTCTTTTAAGGTTGTCAAATTGATGTCCTTTCATATCCCTCTTCATTTGCACAAACAAAAAGAAGTCACACAAAGCGAGGTCAGGTGAGTAAGGTGCATGGAGGGACAGGTATGCTGTTTTTTGCCAAAAACTGGAACACTGACATGGCTGCATGAACAGGTACATTGTCATGGTGGCAAAACCAGTCATGTCTCCCTCCCACCCCCGCCCTAAATCAGGCCTTTTTTGTCACATAGTTATGCGATCTTTTCAGAATCTCTAAATAGAAAGCTTGATTAAGTCTCACATGGTGGAAGGAACTCCAAAAGCATATCCCCTCACATAACATCTGGTTTGGGGGCTGGGAATCCCCTCATAAATTCAGATCAGTAAGCCTACTTTCTTTACTGTCTGCAAATAGCTTTCTAGTACAGGATATAGTTAAACTCTACTACTACTACTATCACTACAGCTAATGAAAAAGGACTTGTCCTTTGGAGCAAAACTGGAATGTGGAACGAAAATAATAGAACTCGTCCGTTCATTCTCAGTGGTGACTTTTATGGCTATAACCTCTCTAGCAGAAAGCTGAACCCAGAGCTACAGTGCACATTGCTCAGGGCTTCTAAATAGGTGACTGGAAGGAGGTCAGGAAAGATCCCTACTCAAGGTGACCAGGCATGCAGAGGAAAACTGCTCCGGAAGGTTTTCGAGGCAGTGCCCTCTCAGAAGCAGATCAGTCTTTAAAAAAAAAATTTAATTATTTTTTCCCTGATTTTATTTATTTTTTAATCGTTTTATTAGGGGCTCATACAACTCTTATCACAATCCATACATACGTCATTTGTGTAAAGCACATTTGTACATTCATTGCCCTCATCATTCTCAAAACATTTGCTCTCCACTTAAGCCCCTGGTATCAGGT